ATAACAATAAATTCTAAACTTGGTTGCTTCTGTGTTCAGTGTTTGTGTAAGTATGTAAATTTTTGAGTTAGTATGCATCCATAAAGATTGAAAAATTGGGAATAATATACACATGCGAAGAGATGACGATTGAATAAATGAAAAAGTAGTGAATTCAGATCTGAAGACTGCGCCTATCCTCCGTCCGTAAGGATAAAGGCAGGCTTAATAATTAAAATAATAATATTACGTAAGTGTCAGCATGATATTCCAATGTGTGATTGTATTTTTACTTCACCCTCTATGAAAAGTCGCAAAATGTTTCAAAAGCACTGTTTTTTTCGCCTAGTCCTTTTCTATATAGTCAATGATTTTACATTCAGTATGTAAATACTTACTGAAAGAGACCTCGTTTTCAATACATGAAACAACGAAATCCATAATTTATCGGTTAAGACACTTTGTGACAAAGTGAAATCGGCAAATCTCAGAATCAGGTCGTACGTTTCTATGTAATTATAGGATTGGGCAACTGCTACTTTATTATTCTACCTATATCTTTGTTTTTCTTGACACCCTGGTAACTGGGTTAGTTTTGGCTAAGCAACAGAACATAATCCGTTATATGTTCACTCTTTGAAACACATATTTTTTGTGCCGTTGTTTCACCAATGGAAACTCATCGGTTAATTTTAACTTTAGTGTACATTTAAAAGTTAATTAATGTTACTACCTTCTTTTCTGTTATATAGGAAGCCCTAAAGTGTTTCGTTTTCAAAGATATCGATCGCAAGCGTAAACGTTGGACGCAGTTGAAACCCTGTAACATGTTATCATCCAAATACTATATTCGAATTTATTTTTATACTAGTTGTCGACCGCTACTTTCTTCGCGTGATGTTACACTAACGTCCAAGCTAAGCTGAACCCCATCCTATACGGTTGATCAAAAAATTCTTAGATCACCTTATGATGGAAAAAACTACGAAAGTAATTTAATTTTGAGATGAAACAAACACTAAATATTAATTGAACTACATTATATTTGTGAAACCCGCATCTAATTCGGCGGAGACGTATCTGAGATTTGAACTTTGGTAAAAGTTTTTTAATGTTACCTTATATAGTGGCAGAGTTAAATCTAGTACACCGTTGAGCGCGTCTTTCCCGAACATCCTGTATACAGAACAGATATTTTTTTCTGTGTTAAGCATTGTACAATATATAGGCTGAAATAAGTTACTGATTATATTTTTAATTAATAAATTAAAAATAATATAATTTAAATAAAAATAATATAATTTAAATAAAATAAATTGCTTTAGTTTTATGATCATTAAGATCATAAAACTAAAGCAATTTACTTAAAGTATAATTTCCATAATATACATATATGCACAAGTGTCCGAACATCAACAAACATATGCTGAACGTGAGATATCATAACTTGAGTTGGAAACTTTGTTCGTTAGTGCTTTCAAACACTTTCCAGTGCAAACATGTTAGACTTTCCTAGTTTTAGATGTTTGTCATTGGATAGCATTACTTATACGACGTTACAAATATTATAGTTGTGCTACCTTAATAAAAAAAACTATGTAATATTACTACCCATGCGAAGTCAGGTCTCCTCACTTGTGTAATATAAATAGGAGGTTCTTATTCTATTGAAAATGACGTCCCTGATGGTTCTTGCCGTTTAAATTGCAGGTGTTTTGGCTTTCGTCCAGACCATTGTTAATGACTTACCATATTCTACTAGTATTGAAGTATTTCAAACATCATCTTTCAATAATCATTATTATGAAAACATTATTTTTACAATAGAATTAAAAATAATAATTTTTTGGGTAAGTCACATTTACATTGCGTCATTTGATTGATATGTGGATGGTGATTTTCAACTATTCTTTGTATTTTACTATTTATAGTCTCGTTAACAAACTTTCAATTTACCGTAAATTTAACTTTACCTTTTTATGATGTGGAAAAATTAGTAATTTATTAAAATATAGTATAGGCTACTAAACATAAAGGAGCCTGCATTGAAGAAAAAGTCATGTTTCTGATTTAATCCGTAACAAAAAAATCTAATGTTTTTTTCTTCTTAAGTAAGTTCCCGTAGATACATAACTTTTTTTTTCAATCACTCCGAAATTATTTTATTAAATTACAAACCAACATCGTTTAATCTTCATTATCGAAAATAAATACTAGACGAGTGACAAGCATTTAACTTCACCAACTTGGCCCAAATTCTTACCTCTAAGCCATCATCATTGACCCAGTGACCCAGTGCACTTGGCTCGATTGCCCCAATAGGGAGCCATCCCCTTGCGCCGCCTGCACGCATCCCCCTCCTACAACCACGATTCTGCCACCCTTTTATCCTTCAACATAAGTATACATTATCTTAATCTATTAATACATATTAAAAGTTTAATTAAAAAATTAAGAGATACTTGTAATAGTTTTATTCATGTGGTCCAAGGCAACAGCCTTAGGGCATAGTGGGCTAATCACCTGCTTGCCCAAATCTTATAGCTTCAAGAAACGAACACAGTAGAAGGCTCACTGTGGACCCCCTCTGCCCCACTAGGGGGACATAGGATTTTAAGTGAAGTATGTGGTACATAATTTATTGTCAACAATAAAATTTTCCTTTGAATATTACCGAAATTTTAACTCAGTCTACCTTATATAATTTCAATTTACTTTTTGAAAAACTACTTTGTCGCCGTGGAAGGTAAATTTTCAGAGAACACGGTATCTAAAAGTATTTTACTTCCCAAAAACTAGGTTAACTCATTTTATTTTATTGTCATGCAGCACATATTACCTGCAAACGATTTGCTTCGAAAGTAGAATTGTTTACCTGTCTTAAAACTCGAGAAAAAAGGTTAACATTTTATGAAAATGTTTATGATAATAATCTCCGTTGCGGGTACGATACTACTACCGTATTGAATATTTACTATACCATTGACGCCGGACCGCAGACACCTGTTGTAGATGTTTAGGTCATAGCCCCATACCTATTGTAATCCATGCCACTGCGCTTCGGTGAGGGAACCCCTTTCCAGTCGAGTAGTCCAATGAATAATTAATACAAAAGCCCGCATAAATGTTTTTCATGTGCCGTATGTTGAACTGCAGCTGATAACAGAATCAGCTTGCGCGTTTGTTACATCGGCTCACGTCACCGAGCGCGGCGAAAGTGTGACGTCAGATTGCGCGCTCGCGAAGAAAGTAAAGTTGCGCGTGCGTCGACGACCACTCTTGCTTTCGTCCGGGGCCGCGTCGTCTGCTAGATAGTGAAAATGGCACACTTTGTATACAACGCAACCGCAACCGCCGTGTCGCCTCAACCATCCGGTATTCAGGTCTCGATTATGAAATGGAAACTGATTGAGTCATTGATTGTTCATATCCCAACGTGCTTACCTGACGTAGGCGTGACGTCGATAAGTGAACATTTTCACTGAAGATCATGATATGATGTCTTTTATTTTTTGTATAGATGCTATATGTGTATGAATATTTTAGTCAATATAGCAACGAAGCGATGAGAGAAAAATATTTGAATAGATGCGATGGCGCTCGATGCAGGCGCCGCGGTCGCCGTCGACAGCAGCCGCGCGCGCCGTTTAGCGCTCTGGGGCACGTAGAGGCGCTAACAGAGCGGGCGCAAGGCTGCCACTGTCACTCGTTCGTGACCCGTTGACTGATTTTAAAGCAAACTAGGTCAAGATCTTTAATTTATTTCGCTTTTGATATTGAATGGCCTTTGTTGCACCTCAGCGGCGACTAATTGTATCTTAATGCACACGCTCATTATTTTTTACTATGTGAGAAAATTTATACAATTTTCTTGTGTTGAAATATACGCCACTCGATGTTTATGTGCTTCTGTGCGTTATTTTAAATTCTTAAATATAGGACAAATGTTTATTATAATTATCTAGCATGTTTATGTGAGGATATACATTCAATCCTATTCTAACAAGGTTGGCTTATCTCCATGAATTAGCAAATAAGTCAAATGATTGTTCTCAATCAATGCGCCGTTGTGGGTCTTCACGAATTACAGCAACTAAGCAGCTGGCCGTCGGTTGCCTGCTTTTTCTGCTTACAGATAATCATGTTTTAGGGCTGTAACAATTATTTTTTATTTCTTCATTGCCGAACTTAAATGTTTTACAATTAAGTATAAAAATTTATATTGCCTATTTAATGTATTCTCAGTTATCTATTATCTTTCCGTGCGCTTAACGGGACTTAAGTTCGGCTCCTTTATAGTTGTTTTATGGTGCCGCGGTGAAAGTCGCCCCGATCCTACAAACTACACGGTTGTATTAAGGAAATGGTTATGTACCTTTTTCAATAATATTGTTGTCTTTAAATACATTTTATTATACCAGCGGTACCTACTATTGACTACAAAAGAAATGTTAATCCAGTTTATTTCGGTAATATGCACCAGGTGCTATGCAATACGATGTCCTGTTACTGTTTGTGATATCTTAAGATGCGACAATAATTTGAAATTATTTTTTGGATCGTTGTTCGTAGGTTAGTGAGCTTTTAAGCATAGTGAGTCGCTACAGATGTTGCGCGAGCGCCGCCTCCACGTCCGCCGCGACATGACTACACCTCGCCTCGAGTTAGGTGATGTGCTCGGGCTGCGCTGACAAATGTTGTCTGAACGTAAACAAGCAGCGGGCGCGGCAACCCTGCCCCGCTGCGGCACCGCGCGCAACTGGGTCAGTGGGCCGCCCCCGACCCCGCACCGCGCCTCCGCCCCCGCTGGCGCCCGCCCGCGCTGTGGCGCAACTGCGCGAACGCGCACTAACATAGACCTGGATCGCGGGAAAGTGGGTCACCGACTCACTTTCACTTATTACATGGGCTCCTAATCGTTTTCCATTGTGCGAACGGGCGGGGGAGCGCGGCGGGGCGCGCATGCGGGAGGCGCCGGCACGCGCGCCGCTCCGCCGGCCGGCTGGCAGTCGATCGCGGGACGTTCTTCGAGCGGCACGTGTGCTTCGCACCCGCCACGCCCTCCACGCGATCGCAACTTCGCGCGCCGTCACAAACGCGCCTTCAGTCATCGCAGCGACCGGCTGCGACTCGGACGCCTCTTACTCTCGCTTACTAACTCAGACCGACAATGTGCCGGATTTATGTGTCGACAATAGTTGTGATCGAACAGGTGCAGCCCGCTAGCGGTGTATAAGTGTTGCGGTTAGCCCGCCAGTGAACTCGGTGACTGTGTGAACGTTGTCGCGGTCCAGCGCCGCCGTAGGGATTCGAATCTGAGCAGCCGCTAAGTGCGGCCGAGCATGACGATGGACCAGCAGGCAGGCCTCATGTCCCTCAATATGTCCGCGTTCGACCTGAGCCCGGGTCCCGATGGCTCCGGCTCGGGCGGAGGGCCCTCCAGCGCCTCTCAACAGTACGTGCCGCAGGGCGCCGCGTACCAGTGCACACCCGACCAGCAGCCTTTCGGCTATGCCAACTTGGACACTTCATATCTATTTCCGACAGGCACCGGCGAGCCGGGTGCCTACCTCCCCGCAGCCGCGACGGTATGCGACCAGACCGACACCAAGGATGTCATAGAAGAGCTATGCCCCGTGTGCGGCGACAAAGTCAGCGGCTACCACTACGGCCTGCTAACCTGCGAGTCCTGCAAAGGATTCTTCAAGCGGACCGTACAGAACAAGAAGGTGTACACGTGCGTCGCAGAACGCGCCTGCCACATTGACAAAACACAGAGGAAACGGTGTCCCTTCTGCCGATTCCAAAAGTGTCTCGACGTCGGCATGAAGCTCGAAGGTGAGTCTTATATGTTGTACTGTATTTACATAAGCTACTTTGCCGCTTCGTTTATCTGCATCGGTATCAAAACCACAACTCCTTTGGGAATGTAGGTCGCATGCAAGCGCGGTTGCAAAGCGCGGCCGAGATGGCATTACATCATGCAGCGGCAGCTAGTGCAGAAAAATTGAAAGTTTGGCTGCGCATAGAAACGGCAGCCAACCAACGGCAGCTTGCAATCCGCCTGCAACATACCTACCTACCTGCAACTGATGCTTCAAAATACTCTTCTAGAATGTTTACAAGTGATCTCTCGCCATACGGTGCTACTCGTTTTGTATTATATTTTTCACATATTTATATGAATGTTAAAATTTTCTTCGTGTGTTAACTTGAAAATGTGATTAATTGATTTTTTTTTGATTGAAAATTAATTTGTTAAATTAACCGATGAAGAAAAAAATTTGGTAAAAACAATTTACTTAAACCAGAAAATACATAAAAAATTTAATGTTTCGTACAATGAAGGAAAAACAATTTTTTAAATTTATCTGTTTGTATGTCTGTCCGCGCAAGGTCGTGATTGTTCAGGGTAATTTCCAGACGGCTGGACCGACTTTAACAGGATTTGGGATAGGAAGGTAGCTGATATTACAAGCTACCTTTTTTTTAACTATGCACTGAAAAAGTCGCGGTCGGAAACAAAATCATAGTAGTAGCAAGCTAAAAGTTTATTTTATGACACATTTTTGTTAGTTTTTCGGACCTAAAACTTCTTTGGGGCATCCCATTAAAGTTTTATTAAAAAAATATTAATAAACAAAATCATAAAATATTTATTTAAATTCGTAATACCATACGAAAATAAGTACAGTTTAGCCGCCTTGCCAAGTGTTGAAAAAATTACAATTTCTTTGTTTTTGTCACAAAAAATCTATGTCTACGAGTGTATTTGACGTGGCTAGGTGGAACGTAGTGACGTCACTTTTAATAAAGTTTAATCAAATCTTAATGTAACTGTAGAATATATTCCATTTATTTTGAGGAACTCATAAATAAATTATAAATTTTCGTAGGTATAAAGGAAATACCTTAAACATGAAAAAGATAAAATTCATCTGGTAACATTTGAATGGGGAGTCGGCAACAGCGCAATGTTTCGATAGCGCGGCGTTGCAATATAAACTTGTTTGTTTGCTATTTTGTAAGGGATACGAAGTGAAGTCTACATAACCAGTTTGTAAGCAGGGCTAGCCCCAAGGTTTTGCGGGTGTGACGATGGGTACTTTTCAATTCTTTCCGCGCAGTATTTATTTCATTATTGCCAATCATGTGTGTTACAGTATCGCGAAATTAATGCTATCAAACGCGAGACCTACTTTTGACGCTCGTGTCACACTTATAAAATGCTAACACAGAGTAAAACGTATTGTTTCATTTTAATCTGGTTAAATTCTAATAGGACATTTTAACTGGAAAAATTATAAATCATAATTTTAATTCACGTAAAGAATTGATCTTTGTATCGTTTCATGCGTGAGCTTTTTGTTTTAATAGTATGATTTTTTTCCGAGAAAGTAAAATACAAATATGTTAACATACAATTAAAATGTCATCTATAATTAAACTGTATAATGTATTATAGTATGTCCAATGATTCGACATGATGTCGCAAACTATGCAAGGGTGTTGCGGGTGGCAGGTGTTAATTTTGAAGGTGAGCAATTAATTGGTATAGATAGTGTTGGGCGATGGCGGGGCACGGCGGGGTGGGGGGTTGTAGCGCGAATCGTTCTAAATTTAAAACGCGCGCGGCCGCAGAGCGCCCTGACCTAGTTGCGAGCGGGGCCGCGATGCGGCGCGCGCGCTCTTGTGCGTGCACACGTACGTACGAAGGTATACGTGTACGAGCGCGCGAGGTTGCCGCTGTGAGCACCGCGTTTCGCCAGATGCCCGCCTGTTTGCAACATACATTACCAGTGCTCGAATCTGAACAAACAAACGCCGCAGAAGATTCGCACACCATACAACTTTGCCGGAACATATACGAGACGGCGACTCTCAGTGTGCCCGCCCTACAACCACATAAATAGTGGCAATGTATCGCAAATGCAGATATTATAAACATTCATGACCGTCGTACAGGATTAACCTCAATTAAAGTTTGACATTTAATGTAGTCATCATTAACACATAAGGGTTTTGACCAATACTTAGAACCTGCATTCACAAGCGCGTGCCTGGCCACGCTCAAAAGCTGTTTTTGCATGACAGTCTCGGTCGTGCCAATGAAAATGGTATATTACATTGCTCATAGAAATAACATTCGTGCACAGCCAGAGTAGCCTTACTTCAGTGAAAAATGGTTCGTACCGGTTTTGATCCCTAGGCCCCCACTGACAAAAAACGATTATAGACCAAAATAATGTTTACTGTCTAAGCTATCAAACTAACACTTAGTTTCCGATTATTTATTCAAAACAATGCAAATAGAGAAGTTAGTGCACAAATAAAAGATGCAAGCAAGTAATTAGTTGAGAAACGGTCTCAAAAATCATAAATCATTATCATTAATCTATTTTATTCATCTTTTACAATTCGTTGAACTTTTTTGTTTACAAACTGGTTCTTTTTGTGGTAGCTTATTCGACACATCAGTATGCCGATAAACAACCTTTTTTATTGTTTAAACTGGTCTTTCATTTTATATTGAGCTTTATTACTAATAGTACCATCGAGTCGAGGCTATTGACACCCTGACGCCCTGTGTCTTTTATTTTGCTTTTCTGTTTTTAAGGATGCCATCAAAAAATGTTGAATTTATTGTAATTTACCTGTCGCTCGTAACTTTGCACGGATTTAAATAAAAAATAATAAATATATAAGCCGATGCGCTATTCGAGACTCAAGCCTATCTTTGTTGCAAAATTACGTCTAGATCCAATCAGTCGTTAAGGCTTTGTAATTTTCATTATCACTAAGATAGTATGATAATAAAGATGAATGAAGTCGGCTAAAAAGATTCTTAGATGAAAGCATATCCTTGCGAACCTATGCGCTAACATAGTTACTAATAAACAACGCAATACAGCTAAATGTTCGATACGCAATTCGGCAACTGACCACCTACGCAGTTGTCCAACAACATTTTTTTTAGGAAATGCTACTGGCATTTCCTGCCAAAGTATCATAGAAATGTACTGCGACATACTTTACTACTAAAATATTTCCCTTTTAAAATCTTCTACATATATAATTGAATAATGATTAGTTATGGAGGCCTTGTCTCATTTTTATTAACAAACAATTCAGATAATAAAGGGGTTGCTACCCTTTATTATGTAATCCTAATGATAGCTGAATAATTAATTACAAATACCATATACCTGTTCCGTGTTAAATATATAACGATCTATTGTAAATAAGCATTTATATACAGTACGTTTATATATGAGGACAATCAATGGGAGCCGCTTGTGCGTATCGTTACTGGATTGACATACTCAATTGATCTGAATGTTGCTCTTTGCAATTTAGGATGACGGCGGTCGAGCGTTAACATTGAATTGTTTGCACAACGGAACGATCTCTACAACAATCATATGCAAAGTGAATATCTACCGGATAGATAACAACTATCTACAATCATCCAATTATTAAATATCAAATATAAAACGGGTAGAGTGAGTTTTTACTATTGATGGTTAGGTATATCAAATTAATTAAGCCGTTGCACCAACCTTTGCTTTGTTATAACTTTAATAGTAGATTCCTTTAATTTATAACAACAATATTTTACATGTTACTTATAATAGGTAAACACCAAAGAAATAAAACTTTTAATGACCAAAAATAGTTTACAACAATTTTTTTTTTATTTGATCGGTCCTTCTCCTCGGTCAGTAATAAACTTTAAGAATAATATCAACACAGGTTCGCACATGCAAAACACGTTCGGTAAAATATTTTAACTAAAGCCTACTTTAACTTAAAATATTGTAGATATTTGTGACGTTATGTTATAATTAAAAAGTATATTATTGTAAAGACAGAAATATTGTCGTATTTTGAAATCTAAAAGTAATATAAATATAATAGCGTAACATCGGATGGCACAATTGTCACAAACAGCTGACCCCAATGTCGGTTGCAAGAACATCGCGACTGTCTACGGCTTGTGTAACAGCTGATGCCCAATTCCGACAACAAACCGCGCTCTTCTTCTTTGTAGAATATTTTATAACCCATTTACAACAAATCCGTATCGCATTAACGTCGAATTAAAATTTATATAACACCCCTTTTCCACTAGCGCATCTAGCTACGCAACTGCTATACGTAGACTTACTACTAAAAATTACACTAGTGCGTTTGTTAGTAATATGCCCCGTGTATTTTATCATTATCTCGAGCCCATACTTGTTTTATGAGAAAATGCTCAAGTTCTGTAAATAGATATAATTGGTTTATCCTTTTTTTTAAACATTTTTTAGCTGTTAAACATGTTTTTTGTATTGGATTCAATGACCTATTTTGACATTCATATGCCGAAGTTGGTTATACGTGCGATATACAGCCAGATGGATTGCGTAATACGTACCAGTGACACAGTGAACAAGAAACCTGTTGGCATTCAATGTTCCGATATACCAAACCGTTTCACTTTTTAATTTTAAAGTATATTTGAATTGAGTAAATAATTATAAATAACTATTCATGCAAAACGTTGAGCAATTAATGAGCTGTAACGATAGAAAAAATTATTCGCAATCTTAAATCATCTTGTAATGTGTATCTGCTAGTCATTGTTACGTAATCACTTTGGTGATAAGAAACAATTATCAACATCAAATTTTAATTTCATAAGATGCTCTCGAATTATACGGATTATTATTTTTGGTAAGATTTCATTTTTTTTATTAATAAGTCGAAGCAATCAGCATTTGACTAAGTAGTTGAAGACTTAAATTCACTTCCCATTTAGGACCTAATTTAGTCACCACATTCCCGGAGCTCCA